AAAAAAATGGATCTCTATGCTGAGTAATCCCATCCTAGGGGGAGCATCCAACTCCCGTGGGTCCCTAAGGGTTTGGCTTTGCTCCCGTCGTGCTCCGGACCTGTCTCCTGCCTTTTCCTCCCATCCCTTACCCATGTCATCGGTTGGCGTGCTGCAGCTCTTTGGTAAGAGGATGCTTTGTTTAGTTATTTGTTTAAACAAGTGGGACCCAGGAAGCCGTCGGTGCTCAAGGACTTTCTTTGGTGACCCTCGTAAGTCAGCTGGCTTCCCCCGTCCCTGCCTGCAYGGGCAGCTTGCTGTTTGTAGCGGCAGGGCCCAGCACTAAGTGTTCAGCGATTGTTGGTGCCCCTTGCATGCAGTCGGTGTAAGCGTGCTCTCTTTGCCMTGCCCTTAAAACCCTCTTTTTTACGGCTCTGGTGCAGCTTTTTCCCCGTGCTTTTATGCATGAACTATCCGGGGACAGAGGCACAGCAGAGCTGCGCAATTCTCTGTTCTTGTGGGTTTGCTTGTTTTGTTTTAGCCAGAGTGATGATTCAAAGGCACAACCTGCCAGCAACTACAGAGCAGTACTAAATCACTGATTAACTCCAACCACCTGGCCGAGAAGTTATTTAATAAACACGTCATTGCTAATTAGGAAGCCGCGCTGCTCGGAGGCGGCCCCGCACGGTGCGGCCCCGGTGCCGGAGCGGTGCTTTGGCTCGCGCTGCCGTGGGCGCACGTGGGGAGGCCGGGAATGCTCTGAAACGAGGGGTGCTCTTGGTGACACGGACCTGCTCCCRTGTGGAGCACACGAGGTGTCCGGCTGTGCCGGCGGAGCTGCAGCCCCTTCCCCGGCTCTGCCGCRCTGGCAGGCACCATATTGCCGCTTCCTAAGCGTCCTTGCCGGCCCTAATCCGCCGGTTTTGGCCGCGGTGGCAGCTGTCCCTGGGATGCGGTGTCCCCTTGGTTGGCGGTGGCAGCCTGCGAGGCGGCGGGAGCAGCATCGGAGCCGCTGCCCTGTCCCAGTGGCGCGGGGCCTGGGCAGGGAGCCGGGCTCCGCGCGGCCGCCGCTCGCCCGGCGCTCGCGTGGCTCCCGCTGTCCCTGGTGTTAAATGGGCACACTGCCGGCAGCGAGGGCACGGCCGGCGTTTGCCCTGGGTGAGCAAGGGGCTCGTTCTGTGCTGTCCCCGCAGGTGACTTGCTTGGTCCCGGGACATCCCCTCCCCTGTGTGTGCCAGGGTGCCTGGGCAGGCCTCGCTGGCCCCGTGTGAACCCGAGGAGCGGCAGGACGGCGCGTGGCGCTGCTGGCTGCCCACGAGGCCCCCCGTGCGCCCGTGCACGTCCTTGCTACGAGGGACGGGGCGGTGGCCAGGGACACGCGGGACTCGGCGAGGGGCTCCCCGGACAGGCAGGACAGGGCGAGGGGCTCCTTGCGCTGCCCGTAGCTCCCTCACCCCTTTGGGGAGGGTTTTGCAGGGGTTGCAAAGTGCAAGCGGCCGTGACCTGCCATGCGCGTCCGTCGTGGCCCTGTGGGCCCTTCCTCTCCRTGCCGAGGGAAGGAAGGGCTCGGAGTTTCAGTTCCTGTTGGCCCAGGGGTATTATATATAGATTATTAAGTAATTCTGCTGCCAGGAAGTGTAGAAACGCAGCTCTGTGTGAGAGCACAGCGCGGCCCGGGGCTGGGCGCTCGCTCGCAGGCGCCCTGGCAGCGTCATCCTCCGCGGCCGTGGTTTAACCCCTCGCTGCTGCCGCTGCTCGGTCCYGGCCGAGCAGGAGCCATCGGAATTTGTCCTTTGTGCAGCTTGAATAGGGAGCTGGGAGCCCAGGCTCCAGAGCGGCTGCCCGGGGCGCTCGCGGAGCCGCTGAGCCCGGGCTCGCGCGGCGCGGGGTCGCACGCAGCAGCCGCCGCTCTTGCACAATGTGGTGCTGCTCTTGCACATCCTGCGTGGCCGTATCCTGCTCTCATCGTTAAGTTTATACAACTTGCATTTGGCAGCTGACGCCGATCCTAGTCAGCACGTTTTTGCAGCCGGGCTTGCTGGCTGCGTGGTGGCAGCCCCATCCCGTCCCCAGGAATTGCCCCGTTGCTCTGCTCTTGTGGCCGAGTGCCTTTTCCGTGGGTTATTCCAGAGGTTTCATTAAGCACCCAGAGTCCCCGCTGTCCGGCCACTGTGGGCGCCCTGACCCACAGCAACCGGAGCAGGAGCGAGAGCGGGAGTGAGGTCCAGGGCCTCCTGGATCCCTCCTTGGTCACTGCACAGGGTCTCCGTGGTGCCGGGCGATACCGGCTCCGGASCCTCGCCCATGAGCGGCCCTTGGAGCTCCCTGGTCGGCACGCAGGCGGGAGGCGATGGAGCCCTGGGACATTTGGCTTCCGTTCYCTAAGTGACTCTAATTAGGATTAATGTGCAGCTAGTGCAGCCGCATGTGGCTCTTAACGTGGGAACTTTTCTGCGGGCTTTTCATGTCTAATTTTGGTATGTTAGAGGCATTTGCTGCTAATCACTCTCTCGTGATGATGGTTCCTGTCCATCCCACAGGAAAAACGTACAAGCGGAGAGATTGGGGTGTCTTTTCATACCATTATTAGACTCCTAGGGTTTGATATAAGCTCGAAGTTCTCTCCTGCAGATCTGCCCGGGCTTTTGTCCCCGGGTGCATCCAGGGAAGCTGGAGAAGCTTCACGGGAGCGTTACGCGCAGTGACGGGTCGGAGCGTGCGGCGGGCTCTGGCTGCAGAAGGAGGTGCAGGAAAGCGCTGCCGGTGAGGCGGAGCAGCCGCTTGCAGCGCTGCAGGGCCCCGAGCCGGGACGGGACCGGCGCCGCCGCAGGACCCCGCTGCACGAGGACCCCGCTGCACGAGGACCCCACTGCATGGGGGCGCCCCGCTGTATGAGGACCCTGCTGCATGGGGGCACCCCGCTTCCCGCGGCGGCGCTGCGGGGCTCCCTGCCCTGGGCCAGGCAGCCGTCCTGGTGAGCACCGTGCTGGCAACCCGGGAGGGCAGCACGGGCCAGCGTGGCTGAGAGGGGAAAGGGCGCTGAGGG